TTTTTTTTGCGCCTGTTTTTTTAGTTTAATTAACTTTCTCAAAATAGGATTGGACCGATATTAACTACGCGAATCATAATGATTTAATTTGATTTTAGGTACAAATATATCAAACGAATGGGATAAAATATAATTAAATATATATAATTAAACGTTTATTAGGAGGTACCTATTATAAAAAAACAAACAAAAATTGCGTGTATTATTATTATTCTGCTTCAACACTGATTGTTACTGGAACCACCACGTACGATTAGGAATGTTAAATACGATCAACATTGTTAATTATTTTAGGGAAGTTTAGTTTCAGCAATGTTTAAGTGCTCCGGGGCCCAGGACACTGCCCCGCTTCGCTCTATGATGGCTACGCCATTGCATGCAATCATGAACCAATATATATTTATTATCCGTGTTACTTCTATAATAAATATTCAACATTTATAAATTTTTTCCATAAATGTTGTGTTAAAACTTGTGTATATAATTTTCCATATTCGTGCAAACGTTAATAATATTATATTCAGCCATGAAACGCAGTATAAACGACTTTTTTGTATCGAAAGTGAGGTGTAAAGTTAATTCTAATGTAACGAATGACAGTAATATTTTAGTTTCAAATTCAAAAATAGTTACAGCCGTACCAGATAAAGATGAACAAAATATAATTTTGAGTAATCCGGTGCCTAAAAATCACAGTATATTTGATATATAACAATATATTGATAAACAATTGACGAAAACCGAAAAAACGGAAGCATTAAATACGATTTGGACACCAGATAAAAATTATGATTTTCCTATTACGCTTTATAGTAATAAATAAATAAATAAATAAATAAATAAATAAATAAATAAATAAATAAATAAATTATAAATAAATAATAAATAAATTTCAACTCTCGTGGTTTGATAAATAAAGCTGAATTACTTATAGTAGGTAGTTTAGATGATGGCATTTATTGCAAATATTGTATTTTATTCTGCGTCAAACAAGGTGAGAAAGGAAGCCAATCGCTTGGGCAGCTTTGTACTAAACCAATAAAAAATTGGAAACACTAATTGTGTTTTAAATTTTCAACATTTATCTGCGGTAATTTCAGGGGAAGAGTCTTTTGTGTATGACCAAATTAATAAGGCAGCAAAAAAAACAAAAAGACAATAATAGGAAAATTATTAGTCCTGTAATTGAATCAGTTTTACTTTGTGCTCGTCAGGGACTTACCTTAAGGGGCCACCAGGATTGTGGTCCATTAAAGTTAACTGAACCAAATGAAAACGATGGAAATTTTCGTGCTTTACTTCGATTTTATATTAATGCAACTCAAGTTTCGGGAGATGATACTCATCTTTTAGTTCGGGAAAATTGAAAAAAAAACGCTCAGAAAATCAGTTGGAAGATCCAGAACCAGATAGTCAATGCTTGTTTTAAAATAATAATACTAAAAATAGCTAAAAAAAATCAATGACTGTAAGTATTTTTCTATTATTGCCGTCAGAACATTCGATATTTCCGGTTTTGAACATTAGTTAAATTATTGAAAGGTATTAAAATTTTATAATTAATAAAAGTATTAAAAATAATCCTGAATTTTATAAAAATGTTTATACACTATTGCACATCCTTGTTGTTCTCCCTGTTACATCATGTGAAGCAAAAGAATATTCTCATCACTCAAGAACATAAAAAACTATTTAAGGAACACTCCTTCTGAAAATAGATTGAATGGGTTGGCTAATCTTAATATTCATCGAGAAGTCCCAGTTACAGTGGAGGTTATAAATATATTAACTGAAGAAAGACGGCGCTTGGATTTTACACTTTAAATAATAAGACTTATGACTATACCATAATTTAATTGGCATAATAATAATAATAATTAATTGACATACATTGTAAATATAAATTTAAAAATGTAAATAATATAATTGTGTATTTTTTTTTTATTGGTCTTAAACCTGGCAAATTGTGTTTATTAAGAAATTAAATGTATGTATGTACTCAGGAAAAGGACAGAAAAACAGTAGTTGAATAATTATTTTTGTACCCCCCCTTGAATAAATCCTAGTTGCGCCACTGAAATGCACTACCATGTAGTAGACGTGTAGATATGTCGACCTGATCGTTACAGCCCGTTTACTGTTTTTTTTTATTTGATTTTTTTTTTTTTTATCGTTTAGTACAGCGGTCACCAACCTTTTGGACTTCTTTAAGACACTAAATACATACTATAAATTCTACGGACTACTTTTAGCTTAAAATAGCTTTTTACATAAATACCGTTAAATAAATCGATGAGTAATTTTTTTTGATCATATTTAACTTGTTATTTTAATTGTTTGCTGCAAATGGATCTATTATCCACATAATACCATGTCTAGAGTTTTATTTTTTGGGGAAATAACAAAAAAAAAGATTCTGTAAGTAACTTTAAATTTTTTTGCGGACAATCTAAATTTTCTCGCGGACCACCAGTGTCCACGGACCACCGGTAGGCGACCACTAGTTTAGTATACGAATATTGAAACATTTAATTAATATAGCACATCATAAAATTAGTATTGAAGACATTGAATATTTCTTTGGAAAATTATGATGATTTCAATACTAAAATAGAAAACTTTTCTATTGATCAAGTACCTAATCTATATGCAGTGTTGTAAAAAGTAATTATTCAAATACATTTTATAAGTAGGTATTTGAAATAATAAAAAAAAAAAAAATTACAGCAGTCATTTTATTTATACAAAAATTAGTGTTATGTATTAAGAACATGACTTTCAAAAAATGTTCGCCGGTCATATTGGTTAGCTTCTTCGGTAGGCCAGCCTGACGCGGAACATCATAACGCCAAAACTGGAATGGTAAGTTTTGAAACCTACAATTACTTTCCATAAGAGTAATCTGCTTTTCTGGTTCCAGATTTTTAATCGTTTTAAATAATTCCGATGACTCGCATATATCATTCGTTTCAAAAAAATTCATTACGAATTAGGAGTTCAAATATTATACCCTTTCGTGGTAAACCGTTCTAATTAATACATGATATTCGTATGTTCGTCTTCAACTGGAGCCAACAACAATTTATTTGGATTGATTGACTTTTATTATGATGTATAATTTTCCAATTGTTTTTATAATACGATTTCAATATAATCCCTTCGCATAAGACATTCAAAAAACTTAAAAAAATTACTTTAATCTAACTTATAACCAGATGTAAGATATTGTTCAAAAAACTTAACGCATCGTACGTAAGTATCCGATGAATATTATCTGAGTAATTTCTAGAGAAGGGTTTATGAAAAATTGTATAGTTTTATTATTTGTATATTAACAGTAATAAATATAAATTATTATTAGTAGATTGCTTCTATATAACGCCTTACTGTATACGATAACAAAAATACCCAACCCATAACCAATACGGTTATCGAAAATCCCCAAAACCAGGTTTTAAACCAAACAAATCCCAACACAAGCAATACTCCAACCTACACTGACAAAACTAAAAATAAAAAAAAACAATCTTAAACAAAATGAAGAATTAAATAACTCAAATATCACCAACGAACTTATTAAGTGACTTATGCCCTTAATCAGCACACTCGTCTCACAAATTATCAAAAAAGTCATCGAAAATCTACCTGCTCTATTAAATAATATAAATGTCACCTACCATAATAAATAATCTTAATCTAGTTATCATAAATTGGAATGCTAATGGATCAAGAAAAATCGAAACACATTTGCAGCTTTCTTATCGGCTCATAATGTTGATATTGCATGTGTGAGTGAAACGCATCTAATTGCTAGCGATAAAATTAAATTTAATGGTTATACTACCTATCGCAAAGATAGGCTATCTGTTCCGACTTTCAGGTTAGACCTTCAGTCATCTTCATTATTTCCGTCAGTTTCAACAGCATTAAAAATAATTAAATTACGTGATCTTGCTGTCGATCTATAACTTCAGATATTACAGTCTCGTCTGCGGGAGGGTTAGAAGCGTTAGTACTAGATAATTGATTTTCTAGTAGGGTGACTCTATTTTCGAGCACTGAAGTACGAGCACCTAAGTCCCGCAGATGACCAGAAACATTGTCTAGCTTCTTATTCAGTGATGAAAACGAGAATTCATGTTTAAAAACTGATTTTTTAATACCTTTTACTGCCAAAAGTATGTCATTAATTTTAGATATATAATCAGTGTCTAAAACTGGTTGCGTAGTCGGAGATTTTCTGGCTCCAAGTCTTGCACACTCACAAATAGTGCACAGCCACGAAGCACGAGTTTTAAGATTATTGCCGGTTAAACCAGAGATAGACGAGCAAGCGATATGGAAAGGTTTAGAGCAAATTGAACATTTAACACAGTCGGTATCATCCAACACAGAGTTACACTTTGAACAATTCATATTATAAATTATAAAATAACGGAGCGGAAAGTAAAACTGTAAGCGACCAGTCCGAACGAATGTCAGATTACAACTAAAACTTAATAATAATAATAAATAATAAATAATAAATAATAATTATTATTTATAAATAATAACTTATAACTGAAACTTTAAACTTAATTAGGCTTTAGATGACCCGTCATAGACTCAAGAATACACACATGTTTGTTTGGCAATGAAGAACAAGGAAATTCAGTCGGGAGACTACAAAAAACTAAACACTTCGTTTACGAAACTTTTGATAAACAAGTGCAAAGACACGTTCGAGTCTATGTTCGACCGAAAACGTATTGTGGCCAATGAGTGGAAAGAAATTGAATCTTGCAAAAATAAAGTATGAATACCATTAGAAATTCAATAAACAACAATATTTTCTCTTTGATTTATTATATTATGCGGTTAGTTTCATTAAAATGTATATGTATCGTTACAGGAAACTAAACACAAACTTCAATTGAAGTCTGATAAAAATGAAACAGTTCATAAACAACTTTCAGTGGCAATTTGCAGGTAACTAACTACTTACTACATCTGATAATTTCTCGAATAGTTATAAAAATTGTAGTCGTATTACTTCCAGATTCATCTGCGAACTTCTTAAAGTGAACATTTTGGTACCATCAATATTAGAAATGTGTTCGGTGAGACTAATAGGTAGTCCAAAAGAATTATCTGTTGAATGCGTATGTGTCATACCGCAACACGCCGGGAGTACAGTAAATCATGTAAGATTCGTCAGACCGTAAAATCATGAATTTTAAATTGTATTCAAAACAAAAATATACTAGCCCAATATTATATGTTGAAAACGTTTATATTTCTCATACGTTAACGATACAATCATAGAGTGGCGTGTTGGAGAAGCTGCAGGAGTACTCGACTGCGCAAAATGTGAAATTCTCCCCGGGCTTATGGTCAATGATCCTAGGCACGCTTGAGTTGATCAATCCCGAATCTACCTGTGATGAGCCACGTTTGACGGACGAGACGAAAGTAGTGACTTCATTTATAGAGGCGTCTATTAAACGCATCAAGTTGCCGTCATCAGATCTGTCTGTGGCCCAAAAAAAGCGTGTGTCCGGAGGTATTCAACTCTACGCATACAATTTTTCAACAGTAGAAACAAAATTACTAAATTATTTGTATGGTGTCTTCTAGAATAATACACAAACCGAATACGAACCGGACGAGAAGTTAGAAGTTTTACCTAGTTTTAGTTTACCTGATTGTTTGTTTCTACGCAAGTCTTAAAACTCAATTTATGGTTTAGAAACAAATTGCGTTATGTTACCTATGCCTTCTCTCATAATTACGCTACTACTAATATTAATGATCCGAAGTATAAAACGTAAACAATTATTATGTTAATGTTATTATGTTATGCAATAAATTATAATTTAAACATGTTTTAAATTCACGCAAAGTTAGTATTGATAATCTGAAGTTATAATTGATAAGCGATAGTTAGATTTTTATATTTTATATTTTTGTATTTTATTTTCAATATAAGGATTTTTGTAATTTTACGTTGGTTACGTCAGTTAAAAAAAATCTTTTTAATTATTATTATAATACGGGAAATTAATTTTTCTAAGGCTGGCACAACCGATCTCCCGAAATTCGATTTTGATGATAACTCGTTGTTATCAAAATCGGCAGAACTCTACCAGCCCTTGGTAATATCTATATTTTGTTTAGTCTGGTTCATATACCACGTTAAACCTGTGACTATTCGTATCATTTGTAATAATTTTATCATATCACCAAAACTAAGGACGTCGTGTGGATAGTTGATACCTTTTTGTTGATTAAAAAACGTGTATTCGTTGAATTAACATTCGTGTGGCTAATTACTATTTATTGTACACTTTCGTTTATAAATTGTGACTTATTTGGCATTTGCAAAACTGTGGTGATTTCGATTTTATCATATAAAATAAATATATATTCTCGTATGATCTTTTGAAAAACACTAATAAAAGCTATTTTAATTAACTCTAAAAATAATGGTAGAACCTGCGGTGGAGTATTTAAATTTTCCAAAAGAAGAAGAGAAAATACTAGAGTTCTGGAAAGAAATCGATGTTTTTCATGAATGTCTTCGACAATCCAAAGGAAAACCTAGGTGATTGACTCATGCATATTTATTTGATAAATGTTTCTACATTTTACAAACTAATGCATTTTTAAAATTCTGTTTAGATTTTCTTTTTATGATGGACCACCATTTGCTACTGGACTTCCTCATTATGGTCATATTTTAGCTGGTGCCATAAAAGATGTAATTACACGTTATGCTCATCAAACTGGTCATCATGTTGAACGTAGATTTGGCTGGGATACACATGGTTTACCAGTGGTAATGTAGAAATGATTACAAACTTTTTTTATGTTAACTGAATAACAATTAACTATAATTTACTTTATGTATTTTAAAATATTTAAATTTTTAAATTATGAAAATATAATTTGTTTTTCTAGATATTAGTAAAATAATAATTATTATTTAACATTTAAACATACCTAAATAGCAGTTATAATTTTTTTTTTTACACACTTATGTATTTAATATATTTATCAAATAATTTTGAATATTTTTAGGAATTCGAAATTGATAAACTTTTAAATATAAAAGGTCCAGAAGATGTGGCTAAAATGGGTATTGATAAATATAATGCAGAATGCAGAAAAATTGTCATGCGTTATGCAAATGATTGGGAGACTATTATTACTAGATTAGGACGATGGATTGGTATTATTTATTAAATGTAAAAATATATTTTTATTACATTTACCTGTTTGTTTAGATTTTAAAAATGATTACAAAACATTATATCCATGGTTTATGGAAAGTGTATGGTGGATATTTAGTGAGCTATGGAATAAAGGTTTGGTATATCGTGGTGTAAAAGTAATGCCATTTTCAACAGCTTGTAGTACGCCATTATCAAACTTTGAATCTGGTCAGAATTACAAGGAAGTTGTCGATCCTGCAGGTTGAGAATACATTATAAATTAAACTAAATTATAGTTGAATAAATATGTTTTATATTTTTAATTTTTAGTTACGGTTAGTTTTCCTCTTGAAAGTGATCCTTCAGTTTCTCTAATTGCATGGACCACTACACCTTGGACTTTACCTAGCAATCTAGCATTATGTGTAAATCCAACTTTAATTTATGTCAAAATAAGAGATTTAAATGATAAAATACTTATCCTTATGGAAGCACGATTAGATGTTTTGTTTAAAAAAAAAGAGGATTATACTATTTTAGATAAGTTTCCTGGTGAAAAATTAAAAGGATTAAAATACAAACCTCTTTTTCCTTACTTTATACAAGTAAGTTATAGAAAATATTTAATCCTTAATTATTATATTTATATTTTAATATCATAATAGAGTCAGAAAACTGCCTTTGTTGTTTTAACTGATGGATATGTTTCTGCTGAATCTGGTACTGGTATTGTTCATCAGGCCCCATATTTTGGAGAAGATGATTATAGAGTATGTTTAGCTGCTGGAGTAATCACTAGAGATCAGGATATTGTTTGTCCTGTTGATGAAAGTGGTAAATTTGTTCTTCCTGTGAGTGATTTCCAAGGTCAATATGTCAAAGTAAGTATATTATTTTTTATAACTTATTTAAAATTCAATAATGAATTAATTTAATTATTTTTTTTATGATAGGATGCTGATAAAAATATCATAAAACACATAAAAGAAGCTGGAAGACTTGTTAATGCTTCTTCAGTTAAACATAGTTATCCATTTTGTTGGCGATCTGAAACTCCACTCATTTATAAAGCTGTACCATCATGGTTTATAAGGGTGCAACATATGAGTCAAGATCTTTTAACTTCTAACAAATCTACTTATTGGTAATATATACTTAATAGTTGATTAATTTTGTTATAGAATTTATTAAAATTTTATATTTTAGGGTGCCCAATTTTGTTAAGGAAAAACGATTTGGAAATTGGTTAAAAGATGCTCGTGATTGGGCAATTAGTCGTAATCGTTATTGGGGCACTCCCATTCCACTTTGGGTTTCTGAAGATGGAAAAGAAATTGTTTGCATAAGTAGTATTGATCAACTTTACAAGATGACTGGTGTTCTTGTAACAGATCTTCACCGAGAAACGTAATTAATAAATCAGTGATTCAGGTTTTTCTTGAATGAAATGCCATTTAAACATTAATTTTTAGTTAACCATGATACTGTTTATTAATAATGTTTTCTGTCATTTAGAGTTGATAAATTAACAATTCCATCAGTTAGACCGGGTTGCCCACCATTACGTCGAATAACTGAAGTATTTGACTGTTGGTTTGAATCTGGATCCATGCCTTATGCACAACAACATTATCCATTTGAAAATAGAAAAGAATTTCTTGAAAAATTTCCAGCAGATTTCATTGCTGAAGGAATAGATCAAACTAGAGGATGGTAAGTGCAAATTAATGATTTTGCATTAAATGTGTCAAAAAGTAATACATTTTAAATTGTGTATATGAGAATTTTAATTTTTTTCATTTAACTTTTAGGTTTTACACATTATTGGTAATATCAACTGCCTTATTTAACAAACCTCCATTTAAGAATCTTATAGCCAATGGGTTAGTGTTAGCTTCTGATGGTCAAAAAATGTCAAAACGTAAAAAGAATTATCCCGATCCATTAGAGGTATAGTTAATAATTAACTTTTATTTATTCATTATATTTAATTTTTTCAAGATAATTTAGGATTCAAGCTTATAAATTATTATTTATTGTAAAATTGTTTTATTAATTGATTAGTTTTTTTAGATGTTTTTACTTTCTAAATTATTTATGTTCATTATAATTATGTAATTATTATAAGTATGTTATTTAATTATTTAATAATTAAGTAATAGGTTGGAATATTATATTTATTCAATATTTTGATTTTTGTAGAACTTCAACTTTTATGATATTAGCCCCTATGTTTGATTGTTACAGTAGTTGTTAGGTTTTTAGGTTTTTTATTTGAAAGGAATACAACATTGGATACACATTGAATGAGAGGGCAGTGTTATTAATTCTTTTAAAATGGTTTTCCTTCGCTGAAACCAAAACCACCAGTGACCAAGCTTAGTTTAGCAACTACATTTAGACCACAATACTCCATTTTTCATTATTATTTAAAAAAAAAAAAGTAATATTTTGAAGTTTTAACTTCAAAGTTAAGTTTTTATGTTTGATACGGTAATTAATTTTAGGTTATTTTATTTAATAAAAATGTTAAAGCTTTATTATTTACCAATGAGCAGAATACTTAACATTTATAATGTATGTGTAAATATGATGTAAGATGTAGTGTTTAATTTTATATATAATTAATGTAAAAGTTTTTATAATTTAGGTAGTGAACAAATTTGGAGCTGATGCACTGCGTTTGTATCTTATAAATTCACCAGTAGTAAGAGCAGAAAATTTGAGATTCAAAGAAGAAGGAGTTAAAGAAATTTTGAAAGATTTATTTTTACCTTGGTATAATGCATATAGATTTTTCTTACAAAACATTAGAGATTCATATGTAAGAATATACTTAAAATTTCTATTTTACTTAATTTATATTTATCTTAGTATTTTTATTTTTTTATTTATAGGGTAATATGTATCAACCAAATAAAAATTACTATTCTGCACCAAGTGAAAATAAAATGGATCGTTGGATAACATCTTGGACACAATCATTAATTGCGTTTGTACGTCAAGAAATGGCTGCTTATCGTCTTTATACAGTTGCTCCAAGACTTGTAAAATTCATTGATGTTTTGACTAACTGGTATGTTCGTTTAAATCGCCAACGACTCAAGGGTGAATGTGGTCAAACTGATTGGCAACAGTCTTTAGATACTTTGTATCATGTTTTAATGAACATGGTTTGCTTAATGGCTCCATATACACCATTCATATGTGAATTGATGTACCAAAATTTAAAAAAAATCGAAAATCTTGAAGAACGTAGTGTTCATTTTCATATGGTGCCTATAGTTCAGTGAGTTATTTTATTTTTATAATTAATATAGAAAATTTAACAACAATGTTATATGATAATATTTATTTATTATGTTTTATTTTATATAGAGATCATTTGATTGATAAAAATATTGAACAAAGTGTTTCCAATATGCAAAATATAATAGAAATGGGCAGAGTAATGAGAGATCGTAAGACAATTCCAGTCAAAGTAAGTAATCTTTTAATATTATGATTTTATTTTATTATTCTTATTTAAAAATTTTGTGATTGTAAATAGTATCCTCTTCCGGATTTATTGATTGTTGCGGATGATCCTAAAATAATTGAAAATGTGGAAGAATTCCGTAACTATATTGAAAAAGAATTAAATGTGAAAACTATTAATTTTACTAAAAATAAAAGTAGATATGTTAAACTTAGAGCTGAACCAGATCACAAAACATTAGGTTCCCGGTTGAAGTCTGATTTTAAAAGAGTTACAGCAGCTATACGTGTAAGACGAATACATCTCATTTAATCCTGAATACCAAATACTCATGTTAATATATTTTACATAAATTTTGTTTAGGAATTAACTAATGAGCAACTTCAATCATGGCAAAACGAAGTATCCACCATGACTAATGGTAGTGATGATGCAAAAAAACCATCCCTTAAAGTCTTGGAATATGAATTAGATGCATCAGAATTTAGAATACTATACGACTTTACTGGATCTGAAGCTGAAGAAATGGCTAAAAAATATGAAGCTCAATTAAATAATGATGTAATTAAATATAAATGTTTATAATGTATAAAACAATTCTTCCTTGTACGTATATTTAATTTTAATGATTACAGATTTTAGTTCTACTAAATGTCTCACCAGACCAAAATATGTTAGATGAAGGTACTGCTCGGGAAATAATTAACAGAGTTCAGAAACTACGTAAAAAAGCTCATCTAGTGCCAACAGATTTAATAACAGTTTATTATAATGTAAATCCTGCTGGAGAGTTATCTCGAGTTGCTAAAGAATGGAATGACTTTATAATAAATGTATTGAAAGTACCATTCATTGATGGGCAAGCAGTAGGAAATATAATTATTGAAGAAACTCAGACAGTAATTATGAAATTATTTTATAGCCTAACTTTCTATATGCTTAATAAGAAATTAAATATACATTTTTATTATGTTTCTATGTATTTAAAAAAAAAAAAGTGAGTTTAAGTTATCACTATGAATATGCAATATATTCATAACTGTATAAATTGATTATAATGACTATTTTTTTTATTTTTAGCTTAAAGGATCTAATCTAAAAATTGTTTTAACCAAAGAAAATAATGATCAAACGCCAATGCCAGTTTGCAAGTAAATTTATATTGATTTTTTCTTGAACGAATCAGTTTTTCATAGAATAACGAATTCAAATAATTCTATTTTGTTAGATTTGTCAATGTAGAACTTCATGGATTAAAAGCTAGATATGGTGCTTCAAATTCATCTACAATTCTTCTTGAAAATCCTGTTGGTAAAAATGTATTAAATGTTATTGGTTTGACCAAGGAGGTAAATACAATTTTAAATTATTTCACGTTTGTTGTTTTTTTCTATTAAACTTTTAATTCTAAACAAAATATATAAGATATTTAAACTTTTATATGATGAAATTATGACTACACAAAAGCTAGAATCCTATCCATTGCTTCATTCGATACTCATGGCTCACTTTAAATATACTCGGCAAGAGACTGATTTGACTTGGTTTAACTATGACGTCTATATATGGCTTGAAACTGGAACATGAAGACTCGGCTTTTGCTATCTTGGTTTGTCTAGCTTAGTGGTTCTCAGCCTTTTTTTGTTCATGGCACACTATTATACATCACAAGTTTTCCCAGCACACTCATGCACTGGACAACAACAAAAACTTTGGCTACCTAAATCTAGTAATGTTAAAACCGTGTAGTGTACACCAGTGGTGGCCAAACTTTTTTTTCCTCGGGCCATAAAAAACAACTTTTTTTTTATCGCGGGCCATAAAAAAATGCATTCTAAATTTTTTTTTACGTAAATGCAAAATATTACAATTATACAAATAAGTGCTGTAGTATAGAAGACTTTCGCGGGCCAGATATTAAATGATGGCGGGCCGGAGTTGGCCTGCGGGCCGTAGTTTGGCCACCACTGGTGTACACTATACAGTTTACCTACATATATATCTGCACAATTAATTGACATTTAACTGTAATGGTTTTATCAATCAGTATTTCTAAATAACAGAAATTTTTCACGGCACGCCGCTTGAGAACCGCTAGTTTAGCTAGTCAGTTAAACAAGCCTTGAGCCGAACACTGTGTCATGGGCTCTCAGTTTAAAATAGAGTATTAGAACGTAGAGAATAATTTTATAAATACGTTATAAATTAGTGATTTAACAATAATTTAAATATTTTTTCTTTTTTAATTATATATATTTAATGTTACAGATAAAAAATGCTTTTGGGTTGTTTGGTATTGATATTTTATTAAAAAATGTTGATGGAAAAATGTTGGATGATAATTTATTAAACACAGTTAATAATGGTACGATTATTGTTCAAAAGAACAATAATTCTCCGGAATGTTGTAAGATTCAACAAAAAACCTCACCAATTTCTCAGTAAGTTAAATTTTCACTATATTTTTCTGAAAAATGTATTTTATCATCAATTTTTTGACGGTTGAGATTAATAAACCTAAACATTTAATTTTGTATTGTTCTTACTATAATTGAAATGAAACTTAATTGGTGTTTTTTTAAGTTAACTTTAAATTTGGAGTAACATATTTTGTTAAAAATTATTATTTAATCGTATATCTTAAAATATGCATACAAAATGCAATAATAATATTTATGTACCTGACACTTAATTTACATTTATATAAGACTAAATATTTATTTATAACACCAAATTTTACTTTATATCCATATTTTTTAATTTTTTATTGTGATTTATTCTTACTTTTTAATTAACATGAATAATTAAATTTAATATATTCATACAAAAATAGCCTATATTAGTTGTGTTTCAACTTTTTAAAATATATTTTTTATTTTATTTAGAAAAGTGAGGTTATATATCAATTAAATTAAAAAGTATTTTACTTAGAAAAACTAATATATATATATATATAAATTATTTTTATTTTTAAGTATTTTCTATAGAAATTTTTCTAAAAGTACTGATTTACAATTTTTGTATTTTGAATTTATAATTGATGTATTTGTTTTAAAGTAATATATTTTTAGTGCTTTGGATTAAAATTTAAAATATCATTTATTAATTACCATTAATATGTATTTTAGATTTATAAATGCAAAATATGGTTCAGAAATTGGAACAATTTTACTTCATGGAGAAGATGATAAAAACAATAATGACAAATTAAAACTCAAGATTGCTCATACTTTCAATCTGAAAGCAAACCAAATCATACTCAAACAAGAAAAGGATTTTGTTATTGTACACAGTTAAAATTGGAATGAATTATTTTAAATATTATTAAATTCAATAATTTTGAAAATGTAAGCTTAATTATTAAATTAAAAATTTCAATTTGTATGATTTTTTAATTTCATAATCATATTTTAAGTTAAGGGTTCTCAAACTTTTGAGGTAAATGCCCTCTTTCATACTATTTCATTCTGACATGCCTCCCTCACCATAATAAGATTTAATTATTTTTAATATATATATATATACATATCTCTCTTCTTGTATTCAACCCTATGGTTGATTTTGCAGTCAGTTACGCGCTCTTCACTCATTCCTATTTCCAGCTAATCTCTTTAATTCCATATAGTTTGACAGTCCAGCATCGGAGATAATTTGCTTGACAAATGAACCTCGAATATCCTTGGTCTCTCTTATCTTAAATTTTCTCTTCTATTATACTATAAACTATTGTTTGTATTTGTGCCTCAATATGAGACTAATCGTGTTCCATTGTTTTTGATGTTTTTAAGTTCATTCTCTGCATTCATTTATTTCACTAATTATGCTTTCATTGGCTCCATGAAATTGCAATACCATAAATATGTTTGGGTAGAAGTCATTACATATCATAAGAGCTTCTCTAGCATTTTTAGGTTTTACGGGAAGTGCGTTTATATTTCGGATCCAAAGTTTGAACTCCGAAAGAAATACGTTTTATTATGATCTAAAATATCTATTTTATAACGTTTAGCTAACTGATAGAAATCTTCGGTATTTGAAGTAGATATTTCGGAGAATAATGTTTGAAATCCCGAGAGTGTTGTTTTGTGGTTAATATATCGAAACTTTATTTCTGATATAAAGGTAGGTATCAAAAAAAGGTCTAAAAATAGAAATTCTAAAATATTCTGGCGAATAGGTCACGTAACTCAATCGGTTTTTTTGGTTTTTTGTAATTCTTGGTAGATTAATTGGAACATCTAAATTTATTGCTAGTCTAGACGCGTTTTGGAAAATATTATTAAAACTATATTCAGCTGAATTTCAAAGATTATCCAATTTATGTAATATATCTTCTGCCAAACAAACTGCTTTTCTTAAATCCAAATTGGTGTTTTGAAAATTTTTAGACAATGGTAGTCCTAGGAAAATATATTAGACACCACTAATAATGATATAAGAAACTCGAAATTTAAAATCGCGTTTCTTAGACCAACTGCTTTAGATGATATCTCCTACTCATTTCAATCACCTATAATATCTAATGATTCAATCACACAATGAATAAGTTCAATAAAGTCGTGGATAGAGTGAAATTACAATTTTCTATTACAACGATTTAAAATGAGCAAAAAAAAAAAGACCTTAGCTTTTGGGGGAGGGGTGGAAACCCTTGCAACCTCCCCCCCCCGTAAATACGCCACTGATTATTCGTATTGATACACGACTACGAAAAGGGCTTATTTCGATAATACAGAATCAAGTTTTCTTGTCCCCAAATAATCACAAACTCTTCCATGTCCTTGAAAATCCCTACCAACAATATCCTAAATGACTGCCTTTAAATACAGTATCCATTTGCCTATGTTTTTAGAATAGAATAAGTTTAACTTACTTACTCCGTTTATTGCCTCAACGCTCATCTGGTCGTGAAGCACGCGCGCCTCACATCGCCACCAGCTTTGTGATTCAATTTTTACTATTCTCGGACAGAGCTTATGTACTATGTCCTTAATTATTCAATTACTATTTTATTTTTATTAACTATACATTTTATTTTTATTATATTTATTGGTTAAATATTAAAACACAGTGTTTTGTTATTCAAGTCCCTTTCTACATCACTACAACCACCAATTTTGTGAACCTTTAAGTATTTTATCGTCTACTATGTATTGTGTCGTCCTCTCTCAGGTCGGTTCCCTATACATACAGTCGTTGCCAGATAAATTGAGACGGCGGCGGCGGCGCTTTTCATTAAGTGTAGCCCAAACTAGTCGCTGATAGTGTGGTGCAAAGGTTTCACAGTTAGCTACGACGCGCGCAGTTACCAGTTCGAACCCGGCTTAGTGCAAAAAATTGTTTGCAGAATTTTCTGTTCTCTCTCCCGTTCTGGTTGCCCTACACTGCTAAAAACAACTAACCTAACCCGGTGTGTTTTGACCGCGCAAGCACTTCAGTCGTATCAACAATATTTGTTTATAATAATGCATATAGATGTTGTTATTATTTCATCATATTATTAATATTATGTATTATTATTATATTATTTTACAATTTCTACTTTTTGTTCTTAAATAAAAAATTATTATTGGAATATATGATTTTAAATTAATATCGTAAAATATTTTTTGTAACAATAGTTGGTTTATTGATATATTTTCAGTAATAATATTGAAATACGGAGGACCACTGGTTTTCCGTTATCGCGCCGCCGCCGTCGTCTCAATTTATCTAGCAACGACTGTACTTCGTTTTTAAATGTATATTATGTGATTTTTTTTCTATTAGGTATCATTTTTATTATATTTTTATATTCAGTCCCAGATATTTTCATTAATTTTTGAAACACAATTGATATACTACAGTCATTGATTAAATATACATAGATAGCTCACGTAATGTTAAAATATGATAGCGCTTAAAATCGTCGTGTGAGAGCCAGAAATCTGATAGTATGGGAGCTAGAATACAGAGCGCGTTATTACGTATTTCAGTCTTGCAAATAAGATACTTTTAGCCTCAATATCTCCAGATTAAATCCTACCCGAACTGGCAATTTTTTATTATTTTTTTACTTTTATTGTTTATATTTATTATTTATTGTTTTATTTATTATTATTTCTGTGAAATTGAATGAAGACCACAATATTTATTATGATTGCTTTAACATGAGATATGTTAATACCTATATGTATAAAAATTATTTAATTTTCGTAAAATATATCGTATATTCGTACCTATCCAAAAATACAATTTTTAATTTAATACAAATCGTATAATGAATTGAAAATTATGGTAAATTATATTGTTATATTATTATAATCTAAACGTGTATTCTCTATATTCTATTCAACAAGAGAATATTATTTACTTAAGACTATTGTCCCGCGACCTTACCGTAATCCAATGGAGTGATCGTGGTCCGTGATACCGGCGAACGACTAAGTAAATAGTTATAAATAGTATGGAAAATTGTATTTACTATTTACTATGATTATAAACTATATTTATTTAGAAATTGCGTTTATAATTTATATTATAATCATTTGTTTGTGTTCGGATTATGAAGTGAATGGTTGTTACATGTTTCTACTCTTGTAGACAAAATCTGTAGGTAAACCAATAGTTATTACTAGGGAACGGATTTATATGTAATAAAAATATATAAATATGTACATATTTATGTAAGTATAATTTATAAAATATGTGCTAAAACCATCCAAATATGTAGGGAAAAAATTTAATAAAAAAAAAAAAAATTATAATTATTAAATTATCAAAATGATTTGTTGCATTGAATTATTACAATTTTAAATTATTAAATATTAAATATCGCCTATTAGATCTGAAAATATTTTTAAAACTGCTAAATGATCGTTCCACATTAACCTACATCGGTTGATTTAAGCATATTTGAAGGGCATAATATTAGAAGGCGATAATTCCAAAATTTTAGAAGGATGTCTGCCACTCTATGTCATTGATTGATTTATAATCAATATGGCCTGAAATTTTTCTCTGTAACAACATGAATTTTCTTTTTTACAACTTCGCCTATTGGTCCGTTTACGAGTTTTCATTTTGCAATCGTTGATTCGACAATTTGCATACTTTCATTCAAGGACATATTTTTGTTTCTTATTTTGTAAATGTATGTGCAATAAAACTAAAATTCACTGAGATGAAAATTAAATTAGTTTTCAATGTTTCATTTTGCATAATATTTTGAGCTTTACTAATAGCGATATAAGTTCTGGATCTAAATTTGAAATAATTTCTTGTATTTTTGTAGGAAGAAGACGTATGAATGATGAAATAACAAAATATGTTAAAAATATTTACAAATTAGTGATATATGTAAAAATATGGAATTATACCAAAATATGTAAAAATATGTAAAATAAAAGTAGCATCATATTAATATAAATGATTTAAATCATGAACATTTCTTATCAAATTTTAAATATCTCGTTTTAATAAAAATATGTATTTACATATAAATCCGTTCCCTAGTTATTTTTTTTTTTGTATATGTGTTTGTGACAGTGCCGGCGGGAGATTTTGCGGGGCCCAGGGCAGATTTTTTTCATGGGCCCTATACAAATTAAAGAAGAAAAATACATTTTTTTTTCTATTTTACATAACCCCTAAAAAATATTTTATTTTTTATGTACACAATTAAACAAAGTATATTAAACGTACAATTTTCAATTTGGATTTATTTTTTAAAACTATAAATATTTTTTTACTTATGCACAGATACATTTTTAGTATTAAAATAAAATATGTATAGATCAAATATTAAGGTACAATTAATACAAGTTAACTACACAAAAATTAAAAAAAAAATCAACATTTTAACATCAAAATTGTTTTTTTCTTTTTTAATTATTTAGAAATAATATATTTTACAAACCTAGTTGTGAGCGATTTCCGATAAACAATGTTAAATACATATATAATCGTAACAAGAGTACGTCGAGGATTGATTCGTTATCGCACAACTAGACAGTCCAATATAAGTTGTCTAATACTCTAAAATGAAAAAAAAATGAAATGACAACAGAAAGTACACTCCGATTGTGTCTTTGTGGTCATGCGGACACCCATCACATACAAGATAAGGAGTACACAATCATTCTTCAACTATAAATGAATAATAATACGATAAACTATACGTATTTTCGGAAAGAAAAACACGCAACCCGGGTTATAATGGAATTATTGGAATTGATGTACACATAATAAATTACATTGTTTTCAGCGAATTATTTTAGACGTCGCCGTTGCCGTTGTTAGTCATTCTTATAATTTATTTTTACTCTCACGCGTATTATTATATAAGCTGATAATATTCATCAATCATTATCGTAAATTTAAAACAACAATCGCATTTCTGATTTCTATCGAAATTATAATTAAATATTCATAAAATTATTCGTAATATAATATATTGGTTACATTTTTTTTTTTTTTTTATATGCACTTCAATAAAAACCCAGGCACCACTACAGATGGGACTTGTATTTTTAATATTAAAAACAAATTTATAGTATTACAAATTATTACATGCCATTTTAGGCGCGGGGCCCTGTGCAGCTGCCCCTTCTGCCCTGCCCTTCCGCCGGCGATGGTTTGTGACATTGTGAGTAAGCCATAAGGCGTGAGCATTTACTATGTCGCAAAAAAGTGGGAACAAATATTCATATTACGAATGTGGAAAAAGCCCTCGAAAACATTATTTCGATTTCCAAAAGACCAGGTTTTATGTGATAAATGGATTTAGAATTCAGGTACGAATTATATTATGAATAAATATTAGTTACAAAAAAGTGTGTTATTTTTATTAGTTGTGTAGAACAGCTTTTAGGTACAAAACATTATTATTTATTTTTTAAAAAAATTTTATTTTTTATTTAAAATTAATTATTAAATATTATTATCAAATTAGGCTTATAATATTTTTTAAAAAATTTTTCGCATAATTATTTTTATAGTCTAACTCAGTGTTTCTCAACCTTTGTATAATGGCGACACACTATTAAAATTTTTCATACTTTGCGACACATAATAAAAAAAATAAGAATAATAGATAGTATTAAATATTTATAATTAGTTAATAATATTTAAACTTATAATATATAAAACAACAAAGAAAAATATAACATAGGTAAAACAGCATTTTAATGAGAAATTTGTGACCGATATTTCTTACATAATGTATCAATTCGTGGTGAAATCTTCGATAAGGCGACTCTTAACTCCTCTTCAACATTAATTAATCTTTCCCTTTTTTTGTTTTTAATTTCATTCAAAGTAGAAAAAGCTACCTCGCACAAATATGATGTCGAAAATGGTAATAATACGGAATGAGCCAATTTTGTTAAGTTCGGATATTCTTTTTTTGTGTAAATCCAAAATTGGCTTAGCTCGAGCTCATTAAATTTCATTTGAAGAGTGCGATCGTTTTTTAATTCTGCAAGTTCTTCTTCCTCTTTTAATGAAAGATGTGAGGTTTCTAAACTAGGATTAAATGGATTCCTCACCCAGTCAAATAATTTCAAATCCAGCGATGAAAAATAATGATCAAGTTTTTGGTCCAATAATGTTATTGAGTCATTGATAATTGGTATTATTTTATCAGTAAATTTAGTATTAGCAGTTAAAGGAAACATATCCAAATTATTATCATTTACCCTTCTTTTCTAAATCAATAATTTGCCTTTAAATGCAGCCATTTTGTCTGTAGATATTAATAAATTTTGATTTTCACCTTGCATGCTTAAATTTAATTGATTCAGGTATTCAAAAATATCAACTAAATATGCTAATTTTGAACACCAAAATTCATCGGATAAATAATCGGAATATTCCATTTGCTCCATTGTAAAATATACTAAAAGTTCTTCTCTAAGTTCATAAAAACGTGATAAAACTCGCCCTTTTGATAACCAACGTACTTCTGTATGAATAATCAATGTATAGTGGTCAGATTCCATTGATTCACATAACTGGGAAAATAATTGAATTTTTTGAGGTCTACTTTTAATAAAATTCACCATTTTTACGACTTGATCAAGTACAA